GGGCCGCCACACGGCCTCCTCGAGGCGCGCGGCGGGCGCCATGTTGGTGGGGGAGTTGCTGTGGCTGCCCTCGGCCTCCACCACGTCGCTCTGGTTCGGGAGGCTGGGGTTGAGCAGCGCCGAGCCCGTGGACGCGTTGGTGCAGGGTGGCAGGATGCGCGGCGGCGAGCGCTCGCCGCCCACCATGGAGAACTGGTAGGAGCCGGCCGACGCCCCGTAGTAGAGGTGGTAGGAAGGCGAGCTGGCCTGGAAGGGGCTGCCCTGCGCCTGCGACGAGCCCGGGTAGGGCGGCGGCAGGTACGTGTGGTAGCGCGTGGCGGAGCTCATGGCCGACATGCCGATGCCGATGCCTGACGTGACGGGCGTCGGGGAGTAGGTGAAGGGGCCGGGGTAGTGCATGCGAGGGTCTGAGATGGAGGGCAGCGCGGGGAACTGGCGCGGGTCGCCGAAGGCCGTCAAGTCCGGAGCTGCTGCGGGATGGGTAAGTAGCGTGAGACAGGAATTCAGGGAGGCCACGCCCCTCCTCCCGCGGCCCGCCTACAGGGGATTACCCAGAATGCTGCTGCCCAGGACGGTGGAGAATTACCCAGAATGCTGCTGCGCAGGCTGGTGGAGAATTACCCAGAATGCTGCTGCCCAGGACGGTGGAGAATTACCCAGAATGCTGCTGTGCAGGCTGGTGGAGAATTACCCAGAATGCTGCTGCCCCAGGAGACGGGGAGGCAGAATACTAGTAGCCAAGGGATCTGGGGACATCCCAGAACGCTGTTGCCCAGGGAGTTGGGGACTTCCCAGAGTGCCGATGCCCAGGGAGGTGGTATGATAATACATAGTAATAGAAGATAATATGTGGTATGTAATATAATATATAATGTAGTATAATAACATAAATAGAATTTAGATATATGTATAGACATAATATAGAATATGTATAATATAGCTATGATAGTGATATAATCCCGGGGGTTGGCAAACTACAGCCCACGGGCCAAATCCAGCTGTGCCAGTTTTCATATGGCCCACAAACTAAGAATTTTTTTTTATAGGGTTGAAA